TGACAGCCACTGCTGGGCACTTCAGTCAGCGGTGGGACATCCTGTCCCGGGAGGGGCTCCTGCTGAGTGGGTCTGGGAGTTCACTTTGTGTTTGGAAATAAAGGTAAGAAGGTGGGAAAAGAGTCAATACTCCAAGTGCAGGGGCAGCTGTTCCATGATCAGCTCCACGTCTGACCCGGCTCCTCTGGATGGAAAAAATCCACCCCCAAAGGCACGGGTTGGGGTGGGAGCTGCAGCAGAACAGTTCCCTGGGTTCTCTGCCCCCTGGTGTGCCCGTGTCCCGGGATGTGTGTGACTCCAGCTGCTCCCTCCCCTCAGTGCACCCGGCCGTGGTGATCCGGCAGCGCAAGACCTACCGCCGCAAGGACGGGGTGTTCCTCTACTTTGAGGACAACGCAGGAGTGATAGTGAATAACAAAGGGGAAATGAAAGGTGAGGAGCAGAACCTGCTCTGCTGGGTGGAAGGGGAATGGGGGGAAGGGGGTGGCAGGTTGGGGGTGCTGGGGCGGGGGCTGTGGTGTCCTGGGATGGGATCCAGAATCTCCTTGGGTGCAGGAGAAGACTTGGGCTGAGTGAATCATTGAATCCCAGACTGGTTTGGGTGGGAAGGGACCTTAAAGATCATTCAGCCCCAACCCCCTGCATGGGCAGGGACACCTCCAACCTGCCCTTCAACACTGCCAGGGATGGGGCAGCCACAGCTTCCCTGGGCAACCTGGGCCAGGCTCTCCCTCACAGGGAAGAATTTCTTCCTAGTGTCCAACTTAAATCACCGTCTTCCACTTCTAATCTATCCCTCTCATCTTATCACTCCCTGCCCTGTTACAAAGTCCCTCCCCACCTTCCCTGGAGCCCTTCAGGTCCCTGCCCTGAGCTGTTCCTCAGGTTCTGTTCCAGCCATCCCAAGGTGCTGTTTTCCCTTCCCCAGGCTCTGCCATCACGGGCCCCGTGGCCAAGGAATGTGCTGACCTGTGGCCCAGGATCGCCTCCAACGCCGGCAGCATCGCCTGACCCTGCCACCAATAAAAGCCCTTCTTCCAACTCCTGCTGTCTTCTCTTGGCCTCCTCAGCACAGTCTGGTCACCAGGGAGTTACTTCTGGGACAGGCTTTCCCAGCACA